ACAACCTGCATGCACCGATGCTGCAAAATCTGGCAATTTCTTCTCAGAAACTTAAAGCCTTGAGCTAAATCCTTAACCCCAAACCTGCTTAGGGCCCACATGTGCTCGGACGGAGAGCCGTTCCCGACTTCAAGTTCTAGATCTGAAACATAGTAGACGGAAAGAGTCACCATATCGCGACCCTCAAAACCAACCGCAAGGACAACCCTTTTTATGTGCCTCCATGCACGAAGCATCTTGGACCGTGGGTTCGTTGTCTGACGTCTACGGCGGGGGTTCATGGTCGAGAAAATTATCCGCGCAATTGGCGTGTCAACTCTTGAACCTTATAGCTAGCCGACACCCCAGACACCCCCTCTCCCTGAACCCTGGAATCAAAAAGGCTACATCAAAGAAAGCCGTGAATCCTCCACCGGCGTAACCGTTCGAGCTGCATCCTTGGAAAGATTCTGATTCGTGAGCCGCAGGTGGTATCCGTGTACCCTTGTAGTTACTAGGCGATATCATGTCGCAACTTAGCTTGAAGATTTAGGGTTCAGGGCTCATGTTGCCGATGGGTTCAAGGACAAATTCGGATGCAACTTTGGGTGCAACCACGCAATGTAATCCGATCGAGCGAGCAGCATACGGCAGACTGGCCACATGTGCGGACCAGTGTTCCTAGCTGACACCAAACCTGGACTTGGCAACAAAAGCCCAACTGCATCACACTGCACCTACAGGCATGATGGGGCGCAACATCTTATGACTTGAAGATCGTGAGTGTTCACGTGTTTCCGGCTGATGTTGCGGCATTTGCTATCTGAACAGTGAAGTTTGTTCGTATTGACTTCATGAGACAGGCTTTGTGGCTTTGGTGTTTCGGGTTCTGGGCACTGGCGGGCATGTGTGTTCACAGCTGTCCTCTGAAGATAGCAGAACCATTGCTGGCCATCCCGAGCACATGGAGCCCCCCGCCTTGGCGACATGTTGGACATTTGTCTGACCCTGAAGACTAAGCCCATAAAAAGCTCGTACTTCACACATCAAGCTGGATCCCAAACCTAACCAGTCCATGTCCTCCAGCATGTCGTGTGTAGCAGTGTGTAGGAGTGATACTGAGTACACATCCATAGTGGCAACCTATGTGTTAGCTTGTTGCAGTGCACAGGTGAAGGCAACAGATGAACACAATCGGCAACGACGGCGCATTGCACTTTACCTTTTCTCGTTGCAGTTGCGTTCTTGGTTTTTCCTTCTGGTCTTTTGTTTGTCGGTGTTGCGCTGAAATCGCGGAACAAAGCAATCGACGGCTGAAGCTGTGTGCTGGCCATACAGCCGAGCAACCAAGCCCGAATGTCAGCTTTCTGTCTTTTAAGGACATTAATGTTGTGACTATTTGCGAATGCCTGCTAGTTCAGCCTGCTTGTATTGAAGTCAGAGTCGCTGCTGCTTGTAAAGATTGACTTGCAGACATGGTCATCGAGCAGATCTCAATTCGTTATTTTGGTGCTGCATGCCGCTCAAGTTCTGCACCGTGACAAGACCACGAAGGAGGAGTGTTGCTCGCCTGATACCTATATATATATATATATATATATATCTACAACGTTGCATGTATGCATGACTTGGACCACGCTGTTGTGTTGCACTGTTTCTTGTACAAGTGTACAGCCGATAACTTGCAGAGTGCACCATCGGTTTCGTATTCCCAACGTATCAGCAGGTCGGCTTCACCAGAGCTCAACCTCGCCAATGGGATCAAGCTGAAGCGTTTCAATGTTGCAATCCAGGTTCCGACGCTTAACATGTGTGACTGTATCTCGAGCTCATGGTTTTCAACCGCCGGGGCTCAAGGTATATTTGGGTTTTGGGATTTGTGGATTTGGCTCGGGATTTAACAGCCCAAGCCACCACCATGTTGAGCCGAACAGTGCTCGAACTCAGCACTGCCGCTGAGGTGAAGCTGGCCACGGACTTTCAAACCTCCGCCAAGATGGCGGCCTGGACACACAGGCAAACCCCAAACAGGAAACCCGACACCCGAATCCTAGACTCGGCAAGCGTCAAATGCAATGAAATATCCAACTGGCATGAATCGTAAACTGCTGGCCTCGAACACCATGAACTCGTGGACCAGAAGACATGGGGTTGCCATATTTCCGATGTTCGGGACTTTGTCCTTTAAGTTTGGGGACTGCCAGCCAAGACCGTTGGCTTGATACCCCGTGGGTCCGATGTCTGAAATTTGCCGAAAGCAACTTTCGTGCCTGCATATCCACCGCTGGCAGCGCAACGGTAGAAGAAAGTCTCACCTCCCAGCTCACCGTTTGGGACTGAAGGTTTCGTTCGGGCTTGCGCTCCAGACGCTCGGCTCGGAGCTAGTCTCTGAAAGCAAATCACTACTTACTGAAACTGCTGAAGCCAAGCCGTAGCCCTTAAGAGCCGGTTGCCCCGGTGCGTTGTCCCCCTACCCTGCATCCTCCCTTGTGGATGTCAGGGCGGGGGGGCAGGTGGGCAGAACATTCATGCGAGTTTATACATGCTTGAATCAGCTTCTTTAGAAGCACGTATAGCAAACTTGGGAGAAAGGACGAGCAAGTCATGCAAAAGTGGTACATTTGAAACTCGGCTCAGGAAAAGAGCGCTGCAAGGTTGCCCGCCCTGGCCGTGGCCTAAACGGGGTGTTGTCTGTCATGTAGCTGTAGAGTAGAAAGGGCTGCGTCAAGGTGTTGAAGCTTGGATTGCAAAGGCCGCGGTGTTGGGTGGTGTGGGCATGGACCGCCAGCTCTCGTACCAGCCATGGCCACTGAAGATGTGCAACCCTTGCCATGTGGCAGCACTTGCCAGTATGCCCTCCGTGCGATGGGACCATGCCGGGGAGATTGTGGCACCATCAGCATCAAGGAGGGTGACCAGATGCAGAAGAACGAAAACGAAGTGATGCCCGAGGGCAAACAAGATCAGAGCACACAGCTCAAGCTGTATGGCGGCGAGAGTTGAGGAAAACCGCGGAGCTGTTGAGGGAACTACAAGAGCCGAACGCCTCATATTTATTTGGGGCTTGCAGTTCAGGCTTCTCGTCTTAGGCATTCCTTGAAAATAGACTTTACGGCACAGGGCTTATGCAGCTTTGATGTTCCCGGACCTCCCAAGCTTGCGTTCCCGACATCTGCACCACCACCCGAACCATGGGCTGTGCAGTCAGAAAAAGTTGCATCGGAACCCGGAGACTGGTCAAAGTCTGCACCAACATAAATACAACCACCGTCCATCTTGGAGGAGCAGTCCGTGAAGGACAATGACCCATGCGACTGAAAGTCTGCACCAACATAAATACCACCACCGTACATCTCGGAGGAGCAGGCCGTGAAGGACAATTTCCCATGCGACTGCTGGAAGCGTCCCAACACGTAAAGACCGCCGCCTTCCTTGCATTCATTGAATCCGATGAAACCACCATCCTGGACGAAGTTCCCGTGGACCAAAGCTCCAGAACCTGTCATCACTGTCACCATGGTCCAATGACTCTGACAAAGCGACTTGATATGGCTTGGTGGCTTGAAGCGTGGTTTCTTTGTCAAGCAGCTTGTAAGCTATGTGTCAGTATGTGTCATCGTTTGACTTGGTCAAGCATCAGGGCTTGGGCGGCCTTACGCCCGTTTTTGCGGAACGAACCGAAGAAAGAATGCCAGGGCTATCGGCAGCAATTGTTGGCAAGTGCTCGTCGTGCGAAACGAAACGTGTTGAAGTGAAGGGACTCTGTGCTCTGTGCTTGGGTTACATACATCTGCTCAATCATCACTGCTCAAGATACGCCCTTAGAGACCAAATGGGAAGCACGAGGGGGACGATGTCATAGACATGTCATGTCTGACATGCACACCGCTGCTGATGACCACAAGGCAGCTACGACTGCCTGTTTAGGGCATTGAACAAGTTGCTAAATCGAGCCTCTTCCACTTCAGCGAGGGTTTAGGGTTACGGCTTGTTCGAGCGGGCCGGCCTTGCATGCTCGTCTCGCATCTTTCTGCCTCAATGCTGCCTCTTGTGTGCACATCCTGTTTCACATTGAAGCCTCCGCCGTAGGCCGCATGGCAGTCGCGAAAGATCATGATGCCGCCTGCTGATTGACTCAAAGATCCTGCGAGCACTTGCATGCCTCCTCCATAATCCGCTCTGCACCCAGCGAAATTAATCGACCCATCCTGCTGATTGAGGTCGCCAGCCATGAGAAGCAGACCTTCCGCTGAGGCTCTAGGCTTAAGCAGACTACATGCCTGGACCCACCTTCAAGTTAAAACGATGCTTCTCTCGGCCGTCCTCCGCCACCACCTTTGTAATTACGACCAGCGGTGCAGCGATGGAATTTCAAGGCGGCTGTACTTACCATGCCTTGGTCGATCTTGCCATGTTGGTTTAGAGTTTAGGCTTTTGGGGCTTAGGGTTTAGGGTTTAGGGGTTTGGGGTATAGGCACTGCTGGCCTTCGAAATACGTTGCCATTCAAACCCAGGCACTCTGTGCTGCCAGCCCGCCGCCACCGCCTTCGAGTTACGGTTATGACATGCTGAATCAGACCCTCAAGCCCGAACTCCACGCCCAAGACACGAACACCGACGAAGTCTGCTTTCTGACCCCCCGACCCTATACATGTCAACGTGCACACAGGGACTGTACATGTTGAGGCAAGGTTGACTGTGCAAAGGGAGGGCAGAAACCTGGACACGGCAGCGCTCTTGGACACCTTGAACTTTGTTCAAGCTCTCTCCCGCTCTGTTTCTGCCGAAGTCATCGTGTTCCGCTTTGTAGGCCTCTGTTGTCGCGTTTTTTACAACAACGGCTGTGTTCGAAAGCATCCTTGGCTATCCAAATTGCACATTGGGTGCGTGCAGACCGACTCTCTGCGAGTGCGTAAAGGCCACGTCCAGTCTAAGAACTCATGGTTGCTTGGGCTTGCACTCGAATAAGCCTTAACCTTAAACACTTAGAATCGGTTGGTTCGAGAACCTCAAGCCGAAACCTACGACAGTTCATCCAACCCACTCGAGCCTGCTGCATTGCACTTCTCGAAATAGCCATATAGTCCGTGCCAGCTGACGCCCTTCTTCACATTCATGCCACCTCACTGACCAGAGACTACTACAGCCCCTATTTAGGAGAGTTCCATGTATCACGACAGTATTCCTTAGTAAGAGGTCGTTAATCGAAACGAGGGATCCATAGAATAAAGAGTGTTTAATATACACGGACGCCACATGTTTTAGAAGCCTTCGCATGGAGGTCTTTTCAACCCATCATCACGTGAGAAGAGCTTGAGGGCCGTTCAAACTTCTGTGTTGGTGTAGGGCTTAGGGTTTAGGATTCAGATTTTGGCGTAAGGCTTAGGGGTCTGGGCTGTTATGGGGCTGAGGGCTTTAGCTCTGGTCACCTAAACCCTAAGCCCTAAACCCTAAACCCTAAACCCCGAACCCTAAACCCTAAACCCTAAACCTTATGAAGCCGCCTCCGGAGCCGATTGCGAAGCAGCTCTCGAAGTGGGCAGATCCCCGCGACTGCTGGAAACGGCCTTCCACGTGAAGACCACCTCCATCCGAGGATTTTGGGCTCAGGTTTCAGGGTTTCAAGCTTTGGGCCCTAAACCCTAAACCCTAAACCCTAAACCCTAAACCCTAAACCCTAAACTCAGGACGTTAGGACTGACTTTGGGTCTCAGGGTTTAGGATCTTGGGGTCTAGGTTGGGTACTGCCGTCTATAATAGGGCTACTATTCAGGACCTTATATATTTAAAAAACGCACATTCTTCAACTGTTATTGAGTGGGGGCAATATCCAAGGTCTAGGATTCCTGCCTCCGTCTGAGGAGCTGTTGCAGTCTTCAAATTTGAGATTACCACCGTCCTGAAAGAAGTCCCTGCGCACCAAAGCTCCACCACCTGTCCATTTGGGGTTTAGAGCTTAGTTTTAGGCTAAGGGCCACTGCAGTTCGATGTTACCTGATCCAGGTGCACAGTCAAGAGAATCCGCACCAAAATTTCCGAAGTCGCCCAAACATCAAAGTGAACCCTGCACAACCCAAAACTCCACATGCAGATTACAATTCTGCTTCTGTCGATGGTGCTCCTTCACCACCAGCGGTGCAGTGCTGAAAGGACAAGGTTGCTGTGCTTTCCATGCCTTGGTCGATCTTGGGATGTACATGGGACTGGTGCAAAACAACACTTGCGATCTTCCTAATCTTAAAAGCATAGGACGAGAGTATGCATATTATATAGATATATAGAGAGAAAGTATGTGTCTATACTGCCGCCTGTCTGGTTGAAGGTGTCTCTGACTTGTAGGCCACCTCCAGCTTGCGCACAGATCCTAAACCCTAAAGCCCTAAACCCCTAAAAACTTCAGAACCCTAAAACCCTTACCTGCTCCCCTGGCTTAAGTCAGCAGGCCTCCGGAGGCCTTGGCGGAGCAAGCATCGAAAAACGCAGATCCGCTCGACTGCTCAAAGCGCCCGCCCACCTGAAGACCGCCTCCATCACGCTCGCTCTTGCAACCTCGGAAGCGCAGCTTCCCACCATCCTGCAAAACATCTCCATGGACCAGGGCTCCTGCACCTGCCATGAAGCCAAAAACTACCGTTGAGCTTGATGACGTTCGTTGCTTGGCGCTTGTCGGTCTATACATTCATGTTGTGACATACTCCATAGCCGAGTGCGGTTTTGAACTTGTTGCTTGGGAGCTATACACACGCAGTGCATACCGAAAAGCACTCAAGCCGTAGATTCAGACGCTGCTGAATGCACCAGAGGTCGAAAGCGACTTGTAGCAGGACGTGTCCTTCTAGACTTTAGAACACCCGGAACTCCAGGTTCATGATCCAGGGTTGAAGGCGGAGGAGTGTCGCTGCCGAGGTGCAAACGCACGTGCATGGGCTAATGATTTATTAGAGGCTTTAAAGTTTCAAAAATTTGGGTTCAAGATTGAGGCGCAGTAGGATTCGTTTCACACGGCTGAGGATGGTTGTGAAACACCCTTTGGGTTGCTGTGTAATCCTGTATTTGACAGCTTGTGCCTCCCTCGCCGTTGAGCTCGCAGACGGCACTGCAGGCCGCAAACTCGACCTCGCCCCTGCTGACCAGCCTCTCTGCTGAAAGCCCTCCGCCACTATTTGCTTCACACCTGTCGAACTTTGTGCTGCCTGTGATGACCACAGTTCCTCGGACCTCTAAGCCACCGCCGCGCGCTTTGTCACGGCAGCTCTGATGCCCGACTGTGCATTTGCTGAAATCAACGCTGCCAGCCAACCACGCGCTGCCCACTTCCATACCACCACCGTTTCGCCGAGCCACACAGCCCCTGAAAACTGCGCTGCCGCTTGTCTGGTTGAAGGTGTCTCTGACTTGTAGGCCACCTCCAGCTTGCGCACTTGAGCAGGTCAGGAAGGCAAAAATCCCTCCTTGTTGAAGCAGAGAGCCGTTCACCAGCGCTCCCCCTCCTCCTTGCAGTCTGTCAGACGGAAGTCAACAAATAAGCACAAAGTAACGGATCCACAGTTCCTTGAAGCCTGCATTCGGGTTTGGACTGAACCTTGGGTTCCAAAACCCCAACGACCAATCCAATCCAACTTATTCAGTTGTCTTTCTGACCCGCGTTGCCTCCTTGATCTGCTTGGCAACCGCTGAAGCCCACGTTAGCCGAAATGATCGCATCCGCAGAGGACAGCCCGCCACCGTATGAAGCAGTGCAAGCAAAAAACAGGGCCTTCTTACTGGACTGGACGAAGGAACGCCCCACCCGAAGACCACCACCACCACCTTTGGCGCGGCATGCTGTGAAGTTCGATAAGCTCTCCCCATCCTGGTAGAAGCTGCCAGCCACGGAGCCACCACCGCCTCACCGAGAAGGGCTCACTGGCTCTGCACTGCTCGGGTCACAGCACTTCTAAGAGAAGGGAGGCAAAGCCTCTTTGTTCTTGGCATGCAACGATTTTTTCCTCGAACACACGAACGGGTTGAGAGATCCGCCTCAGTCTTTAACGGGCCTTAAAATGCCGGAACCAGCAGAATTGAGGCCTCCGGCGCTTGAGTTGCAGCCCTCTGCATGCAAGACATGGGCAGCCCACACCTGATGCAGGGAGGTTTCAGAGCCAATGTGGCCGTTTTTTAGGGTTTAGGGTTTAGGGTTTAGGGTTTAGGGTTTAGGGTTTGGCAGCTTCAGTTAAGTTGTCCGGCACCTACACTCTAAGGAGCTGGAGCTTGGCTTAAGCCGTGCAGGCTCCAGCTGAGGTTTCTTGTTCGAGCTGAACCAAGCTCTAAGATCCTCCAACTTTCGAATCCAGACACCCCCCGAACAAAACCAGCAGAACACCTTGTTCGCGAACCCCATGCACAGGACTCTGAAATCTTGCGCACGCGAGTCTTAGTGTTCTTTCTAGGTCAGTTTTGAGTTTTGAGGGTTTTGTTGTTGGACTTGTATTTCCTTATTTCCCTTTCAAGAAATTTGAGAAGGAGGGCTTGAAGCTGCAGGGTCTTCTTCTGAACTGTTTCTGTGAAGACTCACAACTCGAAATGCTACACTCCTGGAGGGCAAGGGGGCTTAGTTTGGATGTGTCTTTAACGGGAGCACTTTTTCGATTTTGGCCACCTGCCCTTTCACGGCGAAACCACCACCATCCGCCCGGCTGCGGCATCTGGAAAACTCCAACCTGCCCGCTGTCTGCTTGACCGAGCCTCTCAGGGTCCTGTTTTTCAAAGGTTTGGGGTTTAGGGACGACCAAAGACAGAGCTCCAGAAAAAAAGTTAATACCACGTTTCTTACAGCAGTCTTTCTGAGCCTTCCACCGGGAATCTGCTTGACCGACCTACTTGCCGACTTAGCGTCACCAAAGCAGCCACCCTAGCACCGCACGCTACAGTACAGTACAGCCTCTGGCCGCCGGGCGTTTTGACACGAAACACCTAAACCCACATGGGTCTCAGTGGTTCCTTAACTCCAGCTTCGGTGTACCGCCTTCTGCCAGATGGAGTCCCCCTCCCGGTCCCATGGTAGCATGGCAGTGATAGAAAGCCACTCGCCCGCTTAGCTGCTCAAAATCTCCCACCTCCACGTAAATGCCTCAGAATACAAAAAGTCTAGGCTCGAACCCTACACCTCCAAACTCGACAATCTAGCAACCAAGAACAGGAAATGTTGGATAGAAGATAAGCCGAGTCTAGGTCTGGAGTACAGGGTACAGACTTAGGGTTCAGGGTCGCGGGTGTGGAGGCTGTAG